CCCCCATCTCTAGCTTTATTGAGACAGAATTGACATATAGCCTTGTGTAAGTTTAAGATGTGACGATTTGAGACACGTGTATCTCGTGAAACGTGTCCCATAACCAGGTTAGTTAACCCATCCCTCACCTCACATAATTACCTTTTTGTTGTTGTCCTACCTTAAAATGTCACAGGTCACCACTTGGGGAAGGCCTGAACCCTTTGGCATAGCTGAGGGTCCGGGATCTCAGAGGCGGGGCAGCTGAGTGAGCGGGGAAGGGGGTGCCTGTAGGTTGCCAAATTTGCCACCTGCAGAGCTTATCCCGGGGCCCCCTGAGTTTGGGGCTGGCCTGGCACCCCCAGAGCTTGTGAGCCAGCCCTCTGTCGGTCTCCGGTGCCCATGACATCACGGCGGCCTCCAGCCTGGCTGCACATTTAGAATCGCCTGGGAAAGCCTTGAGAAAGCACTTATGCCCAAGGCTTAAGGTTTTTTAACAGCTCCAGGAGTCTAATGTGTGCCAAGGGTTGCCAGCCACGGCCCCGGGTGACTGGCGGGTGGGGGGAGTCCCATCTGACGCCTTACTTCTGGTGGGCTTCCTCCAAACCCCTCCTGATCAACATCTTTTGTGATAATTGCTAATAATGAATTCGTAATGTTACCCATTTAAATGTTTCTGGGAAAAAAACAAAGAATCCATCAGTTAATTGACCTTCACCGCTGTGCGGGACGTTCCAGTTTATAACAAACTTTCGTATCTGTGACCTCATTTGACCTCAAAACAACCTGTAAAAGAGGTCTGGCTAAACCCATTTTGTAGAGGAGAAAACTGAGGGCCAGGACTTTGCCCAGAGCCCCAGGCGAGTCAGTGCAGAGCTGGGTTGGGACCTGGGTCTCCTGCCTCTCAGGCCAGTGCTTGGTCTAGACACAAGGCAGGCAGACTCTCCTGCAGCCTGGATGTGTGGCCCTCCGGCGACAGCTACTGCTCGGACCCAGGCCCAAGCCGACCTTCCCCAACACCCAGCAGCAGGTGCCCTGGGTGCCCCATGGGCCTCAACCCCCCTCTTGGCATCTATGTTCAGCTGACTGACATGCAAATTAGTTTAATTATTTCTTCTTCTAAAATAAATTATATTTTGCAGTAGCTGCAATATGTTGTGTCAGGCAAAATTGCATTCAATATTTTTAAACTAATTGATGCAGCCTTGAGGAAGGCTGATTGACAGCCCGGAGCTGAGCAGGCCTGCAGCCTTAACAGATTCCTAAATGAAAATTAAACGTGCTTCGGCCTGGTGCTTCCTCCCCGAGCTAGCTCACTATGAATCCGAGAAGGTGGCAGGTGAAGCCCTGGGGGCCTGCGCGGCCGAGGAGGCTGGACAGTTCAGTGGGTGCCTCAGGAAGAGAAACTGCTGAACCACGTGGGCAGGTCTCCTTCCTTCTCTGGGCCTCAGAGCCCCTGACGTATAATGGACAGGGGATTGGACTGAGCGGTTTGGAGCTGAGACTTCTGGGTTTTGCTGACAATTATGAATCGAGTGCCTCCTTTGCGCCAAGGACTTAACGGTGAACGAGACCAACGCGGTCTGTCAGTCTGGTGGCGGGGATAGACATCACTCCAGACTCTGATAAGAGCTAAGAGAGAAAGGTTCGGGAGCGGGGTGGGTGCAGGGACGTTTTCCCTGAAGTAAGTGACCTTTGGGCTGAGATCCAACGAGGAAGTAATCAGGTGAGGGGGATGGGAAGGAAAGGGAATGGCATCTCCCCGAGGGGAAGGGCGGGCTGCAGATGAGGTCCTGGATCCCCTCCAAGGAAGACCGCAGCCCCTGGCAGGTACTTACCTGGTATCTGAACCAGACCGGGCTTGGAGGGCTGGGGGCCACTGGGAAGGGAAGAGGAGCTGGGAGCTGGCCTGGTAACTGTTAGGGGCACCCCTAGGAACGTGAGCCTGCCCGGAAAGACATCAGCAAACACCTACGGAGCATGCGCTGTGGGCCAGGGTCTGTGCTGCCCCATTTCATCGTGTCAACCGTTGTGGGAGGTAGAGACTAGTATTATTGGCGTTTTACTGATGAGGAACCCATTCAGAGAGGTCTCCTAGGGAACGACAGATCAATCTGGGATCGAACCTGGGTCTGGCTCCAAAGGGGGAGCCTCCAATCACCAGGCGGTACTGCCTTTCTTGCCGTCTTTAGCTGTCAGAGTCCTACTCGCCTCAAAGTCCTGAACGAATGTCTCTGCCTCCTCCTGGAAGCTCTCCCTGACTGCCTCAGTCCTGGGCCATCAGAATATACACCCAAGTCCTACATGCTCGCAGGCCGCACACAATCTTGCCGCTATCATCTCCCCGGCTTTGTCCCTCACCCACCCCTCTTTGGCTCTGCCCCAACTTCGATCCTTCAGTTCTTTGCCCAGATGCCTTTTCAGAGAGACCTCTCCTGATGACCGTATTTAAATACGCCCCTTGCCACCCCACCAGACACTCCCTTCCCTGCTTTCTCTCCATAATGCTTACCCAACACCCCCTCTATTTTGCCTTACTTGAACTTGCTCATCACCGATCTCCCCCACCGGAAAGTAAGCAGAATTTCTGTTTTGTTTACCGTGATGTGCATGGCACATAGTAGGTGCTTAGTAAAGATTGTCGAAGGAATGGATTTCACTGTCTATGGCATCCCTGACTATGCTGGGATGCTGGGGAGGCCACAGGGAGAGACCAAGCCCTC